CTTAAAAATAACATATACCTTTTTAACTGGCTCTGAAAAAGGCAGCTAAAATAATAAAAATAGCTGCATCTGTCTCAGATACATTTTTGTCTTCACTTCCATGCATATTAAAAACATGTACACTTTTCATTTTGGTGTTGAAAAAGTTACTCTTTATTTGACTCAAAATATGATCTGCCTTTGTCTTGCATTATTTTTCCTGCTGTAAGAAGGAACATGTTAAAATTAAAATATGATGATCACATTCCATTCATACATTCAGAGAAAACCATACTTTCTAGTTCTTGACATGGACTTATACATGGAGTTTATAAGCAAAATGTTTTGCTTTTTTACCATGTCTATACTTCATGTATTTAAGTTTTTTTTAAGTCTTGGCACTCATGGTTCCCATGATTGAAACCTTTTGCTTAGAATATGATACATATTTTTAGGTAGAAGAATTTATATCAATACGGTTTTACCTTTTTCTTACCCCTTCCCAATGTATTTTTCAAGTCCTTGATCTGAGCCATATTGTTAAAAAAGAATTATATAACATTTGAAATTTTTGCCATGCTGATAAAATGTCACCTATCTGTTTTGTTTGCACTTAAACAAAAAGTGAATTCCTGACCTTCTCAGTCAGTGGGAACAGGATTTTATCCTAAGGCTTATTACAAATACACAGTGGGAAAAACAAAGTTGAGCTGGAGTGAACAAGCTCAAATAGCTGTGCTAAATGTTCCCGTTCTTTATTTTAAAGTGTAAGGCATGATAATGTTGTTTTCTGCACTACTGGAGTAGTCATTATTTCTTCTGCTTTCGAAGAGTAATTGGAATTATGCTTTATTCTGATTCACTCCAGTAATAATCTGTTCCTCCTTATTTGTGCAGCAAGAGAAGAAGTAGAGAAAATCAGAAAAAAGATTGAGCCAAATCTGGAGATAGGAATGCAGGCTGGTTTAGGGATGTAAAACAGAATACTGCAGTTCAGCTCCATATATGCTCTGACACTGAAACAAAGTGAGCATCATCAGTGCTGTTATGGAATTGTTCCTGTGGCAATGGCAGTATTCTCTTGGAAGTAGGCATCCATATTTACCTTCTGTAACTGTTTTCCTTATTTAGATAAATGATCGTAGCCTCTTCTTTGGAAATTCAATATAGTTGATTTATGTGAGCTCAGTTAAATTCAGCATTAAAGGTATTTAGTTTGAGCTTACACAGCTTTTAATTTTAATGATACCTGAAATGTAGGCAAAACAGGCAAAAAATATAGGACTTTGAAGGGTTTGTAGACTTGATAGAAAAGTACCAAAACAGATTTTTAATCATAAGGCCTCTGTAGTAAATATACGACTTAAAAAGTATAAGCTTAAATAAGAGAACTGTGTAAAGTGCTTTCCCTTGTAAAGTGTTATGTCTGTTTCACAGTGCTTATCTTGTGTCCTTGACAAAATGGCTGCCACTACTAAACCAGTTTTTATTGTTTGAATTTTTAAATACATGAGCTCATGGCCACAGACATCACAATTACAGAAGCAAGCTTGCATAAGCATCAGAAAAAATACAGTCTGCACATAATTTTAAGAATTAAAAAGCAAAAATTCAACAGAATTTTGGTCCTAAAGTTTAGACTTACAAGTAAACATCAGACATCTGTAAAAATGCAAACTCCCTGTGTAGTAATAAAGAATTATGCATCTCATGAGACTTAAAACAATTTGGGAACTGGAGACAGTGAAGAACAGTCCTAACAGCTTTTAAAGTGAAATACACAAACGGTCCTTAGGGAGAACTCATTTTTTCTGTACCTTGAGTGAATGCTCTGCCACTAACTAGTACTTGGCAATTTTTTGTCACAGTTGTTTCCCCGTGAACATCTTCCTTTTCAGCACATTTTTCATTCTAGTTTTCAGGGAACTGCTTAGAATGGTAGAGGCAGCAGTGCAGAGAAAGATGTCAGCAGTGAGAAATCTGTCCCTGTCCAAAAGGGTGGATGTGCATGACACTGGTAGAGTAGATGGAGCCATAGCTGCAAGAAACAACAGCCTAGCAAGCAGCATCCGAGATGAACCCCAGGTGAGTTCAGTAGCTCCGGCAGCTGTGGATTTCTTCCAGTTTTCCTGCTTCCTCCTCTTGGGGAACCCCTGGTCTGGATTACAAAGCAGAGCCCAGCGAAGCTTGAACCTCATAGCTATCACACAGCTTGAATTGAAAAGGGAACCCCATCCTGTGTAGCTTAGATATGTGTTGGTTGTGGCACTTTCCAGGGAGAGAGGAGGTTCCTATTTAAACCACTTAGGCCAACAAAGGAATTAAACTGCTCCTCCATTTATGAACATTAGTCTAATTCATAAAGATGGAGAAGTTTGAAATGCAGCTGAAGAAAGCTGCATTTTGCAGAGAGTACAGGCCTCTTATATTTTGTGTCTTCTATTATGAAGAGGAACTGAAGGTCCTCAGCTCAGGGACCTGGCTAGAGGAGTGCTTTTTCTCTCTATATGGTTAAATGTCCATGGGAGGTAAGTGTATGGACAACTGGAATAAATCATGCAGCACCACTTATGTGAAGAAACCCAGTTTCAGCACTTGGAAAAGAGAAAGGGTTTATCTTGTAGGGAGTTATAAACATCTCTACATTTTTTCCAGATTAAAAAAAAATGCAAAACATTTTCTTTACAAGATGTTTTCCATCTCCCACTGTTGCATAGCTTCTAAAGCAGAAGATTCATCTTGTTGCACTAGCTTGCAATTTAAAGGTTATGGAAATCCTCTACATCTTCCATAAAAGAGCTGTACTGAAGTTGCTGATCAAAGCAGGAAGCGGTATGTAGGCTGCCCGAAGTTGTGGCTCATGCCACAACAAAACCCGACCCCAAATTCTCAGCTGTACCACATAACCCCATTTCTGGAATGGGGGGGGGAGGGACTGAGAGCACAGGACTGCTGCTATGCCCCTCACTGAACAAGAGCACAAAACCTGGTCTGCACTGAAGTCTCTCCTCATTTATAGGCACCAGGGCTTGCTCGGGCATCCTCCCTATCCCCCTCCCGTCGTGCCGGGGCAGTTCCTGGGAGCTCCGCAGGTAGGTGGGAAGACACCACCGCCTTCTCCTCCGCAACCCCGGGCTGCGGGACGCACCCTATCCTGCCTCTTGGGTAGGTTTTTGGTTGATTGGCTTTTGCGTTGGGTTTTTTTTCCCCCTTCTCCCAGAACAGCCGGAAAAGGGAAGTTTCGGGCGGTGCGTGGCTCCTTCACCTCCCCTTCCGCCGCCTGCTCCGCCCCCAATTGCTGCGGAGCGGGGTTATCGGGCAGGTGAGACCCCGCAGCATCTCTGTCACCCCCAGGGCTGCCTTCCCAACAAGTCGGGTTTCCTCTCCTGGGTTCAGGGCTTAGGCTTTGCTCATAGCAAAGCCTGCCACGGCAAAATGCTTCTTCCCCTCCTCCCCCGCCCCCCACCTAAAAAAGAAGGTTAAGAGATGCTGATCCTCAACCCGATTTTCCCTTACAGTTTTCAGCATGGCAGTGGACTGGTTCGGCTTTGGCTACGCCGCCCTGGTGACATCAGGAGGGCTTATTGGCTATGTAAAAGCAGGTACGGAGCTCAGAGATGCTTCTATCTCACATTCTGTCTTCGTCCTCCCTCCCCCCAATTACTTGGTGTGAGCTGGGCGGCTTTTTACGAAAGGTTTCTAGCTCGAAGTTGGCGCAGATGTAAAATTTATCAGTTTGTGCCATGTGCTGATAACTTGCTGCTGTTGGGGAGTGGTGGATTTTGGGCTGAGCTGGTGCTTTGGGCAGATAAGCCCACAATCGGCTTTCTGGTGGATGCTGATATGCTACTTCTGCATTGTGCTCTTTGAGTGAACTGACATAAGTTTCCTTCAGAAAGGCTTTTCCCCTCCTGTTTAAAATACAAGCATTCTATAAGTGTTCTGCGTCTTCAAATGACATAAATCACCATTTTTTTCCCCTTAGAGATTTATTCCCATCTTAATCTTTGACAATAACGGTGTACTGCAAGCTGCAGAGAGTTTTCTGAAGGATCCTTTCTCCAAGTAGAGCTGAACAATGCAAATCAGTCCTTAAACTTGTTCCTTTTCTGGGCTCTTCATCATAAGCTTACCCTCTGACCTACTGTTTTCATTTCCTGGCCTCCTCCAGACAGAACTGAAGCTTAATTCCTGCAACAGTCTCTTTCAGCTTTGAAAATCCCTAAGCTGTCCTAGCTTTTATGATAGGAAGGGGCATTTCTGAAGTCAGTAAGAATCTTACCAGTAACTAATTGCATCTGTATTTCTCTGAGGGCATTATGAAATGCTAGGAGTCTTTCATGTCCTCTGGTCCCAGATGGGAGGACATGGTCATGCTGAGGCAAGGGAATCCAGGTCACAGGATTTTTGAAGGGGGAATAGAAACTCATATGGTGACTTCTGGAGAGAAAAAAAACATATTGTGTCATTACTAATAACTTGGAGAAACCAAAAGAAAATGGAACTTTCATCTGTAGATCTAATTTGATGATCTGATCTGTTCTTTTACAACCAGGTCTAGTTACCCACACAGATAGTGGACAGCAGTAGGTGCCTTGGGAAGAGTATGAGAACAGAGCAATCAAAGAGAGAGTGATTTATTGATTGATTGATTGATTGATAGTTTTTCTGTCTTCATTTAGTAAGTTCTCTGAGTCCTTGTGTGTTGAGACTCAGGAACTTCTTGAGCCAGAGGTGATGTGTTTGTCCTAGTAAGTGTATGTGTCATAGTTGCTTAAACGACGCCTCAAGGTAAAATTCATGGATATGGATATGGTGGATGTTTCTCGACTCCCAGGCTTGTGGAAAGAATTGTAGCTACCACATGTTGGTTGCTAAACTGTATTCTGTACAAAGCAGCTGGTTATTATAGTGTGCGTCTTTTTCCTTGCACATGGACAAGAATATCAGGTGCTTTCTATCAGTTTTTATCTCTTGCTTTTTTATACCAAAAGCAGGATCTAAAGCAATATTACAGCAACCTTGTTGATGACTGAAAAGTGATTACTTTCTGGCAGCAATATGCAATCCTCCTGTAACATTGAGAGATCTTTATCAGCTTAGTTTTTTAGTCTCAAGTCTTTTAAAGGTGACCTGAAAAATGGAATATAAAAAGAACTATCCTCGGTAACATTAAGTCCTTAATTCTCCATTAGCCTTATTGAGGATATTCACCACTCACAGTGATCATGCCACTTCATTACTTGGTGTATTCTATAAATCAACTTAAACGTAGTATCCTTTATTTTCTGGTAGCTTTATACCAAGGATCTGATTCAAAGTTTAGGTGAGTCCAGGGAAACTTCTTCCAAAGTCTGCAGTTACCTTTGGATCAGATCTCAGGTGTATTTAAG